GACAAAATAGCAGCACTCTGTTCATAAATTAGGTTCATTTTGTTTTATGATTTACATTTTGCAACTTTGCAGATGTGCTCATTAGAAACATTTCCTCATTATGCTGATCTAACTGTAATCCGGGCGGCTTTATGTTTCCTACAAAACCTATTTGTTGTTGCAATTTGGTGGAATATAAAATACATTTTTAGGAGACAATATTGGAAAAGCCAGTCATCTCTTTAAGGACACATGGGTGTGACAAAAGAGCAGAGAAAAAACTGTTTTGTTGAACAAATGGGGAAGCTCTTTTGTGTTTAATAAAAAGGAAACCATTATTTTGACAAACACCTGTCTTGTTCACACAATTCTTCGGTACTACGAGCACTGCTAAGACATCTATGACTGTGGTAGAGTACTTCAGCAGACAGATGGTTGGTGGGAATGTGTGCACATGTAGAAAGGACAGGGCGGGTCATTATTCACAGTAGAGCCACTTCTGCAGCTACCATTACACCACTGGTCAAGGCAGGGAGAACGGCCCATGCAAAACCACACATCCAAAACAAAAGCTGGTTATGAAGGTCAAGTCCATGACATGGATGGATGAATGTTATCAAAACTGCAAAAGTTAATAGCTGTTTTTTTTGTAGTTTTTACTCCAATGTCAACCTTAGCTGGGGAGATTTGGATGGATCAGTTGTCAACACAACCACTTTTGTGTCTGTATTAGCAAATTTACAAAGACTATTTATTTTGAACAACGCGTTTTGGCATGAAAATTATGATGTTTTATCTCTCTTCAGCTGGGCAACATTTTGCCTTCTGTGGCATGCAAATGCTGCCCAGCTGTACCTGCAGAGAACATTTACACAAGCCAAATTATATAAAGGTTTTTAACACAACAGATTCAATAGATCATTTTCCCAGAGAGGAGGCAACTTAACACTGAGATGTTTCAGAGATCCTTTGTTCTGAAGTACACTAAAATCACTTTGTCAATATGATTTTTGCATTTTGTGTGTGTGTGATGGCTTTCTGAGCATGTGTTTGAAAAATAAAAAAAATAAAACCGATTGAAACTCAACCTTGGATCAACCCTGCATGCACAATTTGCGTCACAGTGCCAATTAAGTGCACATAGCCACTATATATTTGCAAAACAGCAGCTGCTTTAAGCCAAGAACAGCTGTGAAACATACTGAAATTAAATGCAGATGTTGTAGCTAAAAATAAACCTCAATTTCCCACGTGCCTTGAAGGGAAGAATAAAAAAAAAAAACAGAAACTTGGAAGCAATATTAAACATCCCAAAACAAAAAAATTAAATTAAAGTAATAATGGGAATTAAAATGGGACTGACTTGGATGAAGCCCATGTGAACTTCTGCTCTGGTGGTATTATAAATGATCCAAACCTCCCACTGCTATATGGCTGTTGCCCAGCAAGCGCATGAAAAAGAAAATAACTGGTTTCTTTATGGGCCATGCACTGGCAGCTGGTGCCTTTTAGGGTCTCCAGTTAAGAAAAGACAAAATTATTCCAGTTGGAGGTGGCACCATGCAAAGACTGTCAGGGCTGCTTCCCCACCTAACTAGGCCACACACTGTATATTCAGGTCAGTCATGGACCCTGAACTGTGAGACCCACTTAACCTGGCAGTGAAAGAGAGAGCGAGAGAGAGA